GCTAGCCTCGTTATGTAATCATGAATGTTTCAGAAAATGGCAATGATTTATTCATGTCGGTTTCAAAGTTATACTTATAAAAGTTATGAGCTGGCTATATTAAGCTTCAGAACTGCTTGCGAGAAATGAACACAGCAGTAAAACTAACTAAGTCATACCTCTCAAATAAATAGATTTCATTATTGTGTTCACAGTAGTGTCAAAGTAAGTTTGGTGATTCAAATTATAATGATCAAAGATCGGAATAACTATAATATAATAATATTTACTTAAAATTCGTGAAAGTAAGTAACATAGTAACATACGACAGTAGGATAATGCCTCGGGTCATGGGGCTTTCGGGGTTGGGACCGCGGGCCCAAGTTTCCGTTTGGATAGAATAAAATAGTAGTGTTCAATTAGAATTATACAAAAACAAAACGAAAAACGAAATATAATTACTATAACCTTGAGTATTTAAATATTTAATTATAACAGTTTAATTAAAACATTTTTGTTTATTACAGAACGCTGCCATTTTTGAAGCAAAACAAATATTTTATCGTTTCATAAAAATGGTTTTGATTGATATAACTCAATTTTTTTTGTTGACCGTACTTTCCCCAGACATTTTAGTGCTGGTCCCAACATATGTACCACTTAGGGAAGTAGTATGAAAGGGAGAATTCGGGACCGCGGTCCCAGTCCTGAAAGCTCCACGACCCAAGGCATAATCCTACTTTATGTTATCTACTTCCACGAACTATGGGTAAATATTCTCAACCTATTCTGATCTTTGATATAGGCGATAACCGCGGGCAAAAAATAGTTTAATATAAGATTTTCACTAAGATACTACTCAAAGGAAACAGTATAAAACATACATACATAAGTAAAAGTGTAAGCCAAAGCAATCATTAAGAAGACAATATAATAAACAGTATACGAGTAGTCTTTTACAGCATTGGTATTCTCTCACAGTCCTCACCAATAGAATATTCAACTCGCCAATACGTACGGGTACGTTCAATCTAAATGTATACGAACATTATTTTTTGATACGTGCTTCACGAGGCAATAAAAGGTTTCGAATGTATAGTCAGAGATAGAACGGTATATGTCTAAAGTGACCTAGAAATAGGTGATAGCCACTGGTCTGTAAAATATGAAATACCTACAATATAAATGTGAATGTAGTAGGCAGGTGGATTCAGTATACGGCAGACTAAATACTTAATTGTAACGTTAGCGTTCATCATCAGCCTATCGCAATCCACCGCTGGACATAGCACGCCACTTGGATCGATTTTGGGCTTCTCGCAACCAGCTCCTGCCAGCCATCTTGCCATTGAGTTAAAACAACACTAGAGAAGCAAACCTCATTATCACACGTCGAAAAAAGTGTAACCACTTTTGAACTTTGACGACGTAGCTTTGATACCACTAAACATTTGAAAGTAAACATATTTATGTCTCATTTACACGCGAGACAAGAACAATACCATCGCTCGTATTAGACAAAGACAAAGATGTAACTTTACGATGGTGGGCCAGTGTTGACTACCGTATGAAATTTTACCCATAACAACTAAGAAACAATATTTTTTTTAAACAATTTTGTAATAAAATAAATTAATTTAAATATTCTAAATAATATATTTCGAATTGAATAGAATAGGTATAAATAATAAAATAACTGGAAATATTTGGTTAAAAGGGTTTATATTCAGTGTAAAATCAAACTGCGCTGTGAAGCATCAGTTTTGTATACAATTGTCTTTTAGACTCTTTTTATAAGTTTGTGTGGATATTTTACTTTCATGATACACTCTTATTTTTACGTATGTAACAATAATAGCATTTAATAATAAAAGTGAATGATCAACTTGTACTGATAATAAATAATCCCCAGGGTGTATTGCAAATTCTATTATAATTTAAAAAACAAATAAAAAAAAAATATTTTTATTTTTATTTTATAAAAAAAATTATTTATGTTTATTTACTTTTTTATTTTATATTTTTATTTTTATGATAAACATTTATTATTATTCTCTTTATTAAATTTTATATATACATATTAATTACATTTTTAAATATATTACAAAAGAAATAAAAATACATTTAAAAATATAAAAAATAGTAGACCACCGACATCGGGTACAGGTACCAGGACACCAGTGGTTAGGACTGCAAAGATAGGAACCTCCTCACTATACGAGCCGTGTCAAGGAGGACTGCCTTCTGTATCTTATTATTATTATTATTTTGTACAATTATTGTTTAAAATTGATAATAAATTAAGAAAAACAATGAATTAATTTTTTTGTACAAAAGTCTCCAGCACTGCGAGCTTGGCACTTCTGCCAAGCTCGCAGTGAACGTTCAACGGGTCCCTAAAAAAAGGGATCGGTCCAGCCCTAACAACTACCGTTCTTCCTATATTTTATTATTATTGGCAAAATGTTTAAAAACAGTTTAAAGCATATTATTTCATAAATTATAAATTCTCCCACTAATGTGGGAAAACCAAAATGATTTTTTAATGGTAACACTGATTCTAAATTACAATTATCAGTGTTTTATTTCAATTATAGCCTTATTTACGATATTATCAATACAAAAACCATAAACTTACACGTGAAAAGTAATTCCGCATGATTTATTAATGTTTTGTGACCTTGAATCGCATTCTTTCACTACGCATTTAGCCATTTTGGCGATTGTTACTGTCATGTGTCGCTATGTTCAACTCGGTTGACGCCACATTGAATAATGAATTGACGTTTGCTACGCATATGCCTGTGGACATATGTGCAGTAGCAACGATTTTAGGCGGTAATTACTCATCTATGTAAGTATTATATCAATGCCATCTTGCGCATATCGTCACTCCACCTGGCCTGTGGGTGTCCTAAATTACGTTTGCCGAGACGCGATCTCCACTCAAGAACTCGTTTTCCACAATGGTTGTCAGTTCTGCAGCTAATATGGCCAGCGCACTGTATTAGCGTTCAATCTTATTAAATAAGCAATTTGTTAAAGCTTACATTTATACGATTTAGCATCGGTGTTAAGTATTAAATAAGATCTATATGACATCTACTGTTTAGTTTACCAAATTGAATATTTCTTCCAGAATGTAGACCCTAAGCTTTTGAGGACGTAGGCTTCGTTTTCGTACCTACTTGCAGCTGCCTTAGCCCCCACAAGTAATACAGTATACGCTTCTTTAATTTATAATCATTAGTGGCCTTAAAAGTGTTTCCAAATTTAATAATTTGAGCCTATTTTTTACGGCTCATCAAAGAAGAGCAAGGTTTCCTCCTTTCGTAAAGAACGCCATATATACGAGGGTTTCTACCACACCAATATTTATCTTAATAGAATGAATACAACAAAAACACCATTAAGACTTTTCTTAATTTCCTAAACATTCTAAATAAATGCCGTGCTACATGCTTACTCTATAATATATTAAAAACATGTTGGTTTGACAACTAGTCAATAGGATTTGTAAAAAAAGTAATATCGCTAAAATTGTGATAAACGCTCGCAAAATGTTTCTAATACAAGATTTCGTTGCCAATCCACCTGCCCATCAAACTGTCAATTTGTCATGCCATCACTGACAATTTTATTAGAAGTATTTCAATGTAAGCTGTGTTAAACACAGAGATTGAGGACGATCTTAGTTAGCAGTTCTAGGGTTTTTACTCTGTTATATGCTCAAGCGCGCGTAAACTGTTTTTTTTATAATCGGCTGAGAGTTGTGTCACTGTCCTCTAACGATCATGATAAAACTATCAGTCGATGTATTTGTCTTGTTCTGGAGAGCAGACTACGGGGATTTGTAGGTAAAGAATCCTCCATCTAGGCCAGGAGTAGATAGAAAATATTTTAATAAAATAAAACTGATTAAAGGATATCTCCGTACTAAGACTTCCAGCTGACTGTTCAGTTTATAAACTTTAGTTATGCAATAGATATATAAATATGTATATTCACTGCATATAATTGCATTTGTTCATAGGTAGAGAGCTTTTTTTTTATTAAAAATAGTAAGCATAGCGCTAGCACTTTCGCCAAAATTGAACAAATTGCCGCGCTGTTCTTTATAGCTCTGTCTGACATTTTGCACTTTTATTTTATTTTAGTCTAGTTTTAAACTTAGAACGTATTGGCGTATTCTAAAAATAAAATATACCGTTGAGAATCTTCCCAAGAATTGAGCATATAACATTTCTTGCTACATATCTAATTTGCCTTTTACCTATAAAATGTATATACATAAAGTTACCTATACATTATTGATCCTTTTACTTTTGAAGTCATAAATGCATACGTCCACAGTTACACTTGTTATTACATAACCTAACATAAACAAAAATAAAAAACAGACGTATTTCGTTAAGGAGAAGTCCTTGCAGTTCTGTCTCAAGTACTATTTATAAAATGTAAAATAGCTGCGTCCTTGTTTAAAACTGGAATAAAGAAACGCTTGAGATTCTTCTGCTGTTGAGATTTAAATGCTGAAAGATAACTTGTAGAATGGGATAGCACTTTCTACACGTGTTCTGTGTGGATGCAGGATTATACTTTCTTTTCTTTTCCTTGTCTAGTTACTTGTACCTAAATTTTCATCCTCTTTGTAATGTTTACACCTAGCAGGCGCACCTGATAAAGTAACTGTGGCTCACTGTTTATCAATATTGTAGGCTCTTTTTAACACGCTTTTATTAGCATTAAAAACATCTCTGATTGGAGGACATAAAGTATTGAAGCTGTACTTTACGATCTATACTATTCGAAATTCAGATTTTCATAATACACTTTGAAAAGCAGATCAAACATTAAAGATTTCAATTCAATAAACTTTTACATTCAACTTTTTATTCTAATTATGCTCTTTAGCATAGAATAAAAAGTTAAAAGTAAAAGTACACAATAGGAGTGGATAAAATTTTCAGTATTTAAACATATTAAAAATAACATGCTTATTTTTGTTCAGGTTATCCACAATGGTGCCGCGTTGGCTGCTCGTATGCTGCGTGGTGCTATGCGCCAGGCCGGCGCACCCACAAGGCGCGCAGCAATGCCCACCACCTAATACCATCACCCCTTGCAGTTGCACCGTTAAGAAAAACGGCCTCGACATACTCTGCGAATTTACTGAGCAACAACATATACAGAAGGTAATCTCGATTGATTAAGTTACATAGAATAAAAAAAGCTTAAGGATGGTCGTGTTGCAAACTGTCAGTAAAACCATTTTCAAAAATTGTTTTTTATGAGTTTCAAAATAAAGAAGAATGGCAACTGTACTGTTACTGTACAGATTAAATGAAGTAATAAAGGAATGAATTGGATTAAATCAATGAATTTAAGTACCTATGTTAATTCGTTGACAGCAATTACAAATCGTTTGTGACAGCCAGCTGACATAGGTATTGACTTAGGTACAGCGTATGTGTAACGCTTTTTAAACACAATGTTCTAAAAATCTAATAACCAAATAAATAAAACAATAATCCCTACAACGAGGTATGTAAGGCGGTGGGAAAGTTCCATTTAATGGCAAAATATGACAGTATAATCACGCCTGTAAACAAATGAAACAACTTATTTAGACACTAAACTTATTGATAGCCGCACTGTATTATTTTATATGCATAAATTTTTAGGCGCTACTTCAGACTTATAGCTCGTAGCGATATTTCAGTAGACGAGCTATAAAATGCGAAAAGAAACACTTAAATCGGGTTCGTTGTGTGCTAGTGCGTTTAAATGCACGCGAAGAAAATAGTGTATAACACAACAGTTTTTTTCTATATTTAGCACCAGACAGTTTTATGGCATTTAAAGTTATAAGCTTTGAGATAACTAGGGTTGTTAACTGTTTGGCAAAATATCAGACATAGCGTTATCGAATTTGTCAAGTTGGTTTCTCAACTAAGTAAAAACTTCTGATGTACTAATGAAGGCCTAGTTGTGAGCTAAGTTGGAAAGCCTTTAATGCTTTAAGTCAGCCTAAGTAAATCAGTCTACTCAATACAAAACAAGTAATTGTTGTTAAAGCTGAAAGAGATCGACAGACGATTTTGTATTTTTTTTAATATAAATATCTTGAGACGAATCTTTGCATTGCACTTAATTTACAATACCGAATAAATTCTAATGATGGATTATCTCGGGAAGCTTACAATATGTTCTATTATTATTTCATTGAGATAACTAACGATAAATAATTTAAAAAAAGTTGAATCGACTTCAAACAATACTAACAAAGAACACTAAAAACCTAACTAGTTTTACTGACATTTTTTGAAGAGTTCCGTTCTGTATATTTTCGAAACTCATTATCAAATCTATATGAAATTTATATGGGAACACAAAATCCTTTCAAAAAAAAGAATTGAAATCCGTCTATATAAGACGGAGTTAATCCCGAACATCTGTGTGGTGACGGATTGTCACCTATTCATCCCGTAGGTGTCGTAAAAGCCTACTAAGGGAGCAAACTGTACTGCAATGCAAAGGGCAACAGTACTGCAAAGAAAAGGAAAACTTGAAACAAATCCTATACAGACCCGTCAGGCCGTCTCCTTGTCCACATTTTTGTAAAAGTACAATATTATGTACGTTTTTATTTCTTTCTTAGGCAATGAACACACTGCGATCTAAGCCGATGATTATTTTCTACCTGAAGTTGCGTCACAATAACCTGGCTAAGCTTCCAGCTTACATTTTTCTCGGGCTTGATATCCGCCACCTGACCGTACATAACAGCAGTTTGGCAGTCATAGAAGACTCGTCTCTTAGTTCTATTGGTATGTATCAATTATTCTATTTAGCTTTACTTATTTACAAAAATATTTAAACCGTTTTCGAACAAAATATCGTAGGCATGAAACTTTTATCATAACCTGAAAAAGGTAACTCAATAAAGTGTCAATGCCCTCAGGTAACAAGCTGACTCAACTAGACGTGTCACAGAATAGCCTAGCAACAATACCGACATCGTCCTTCACGCACCTAAATCATCTACTCATCCTTAATATGAACCATAATAAGGTAAGACTAGCTTTTGACACATTGTTGTAGCACATATCGTTTTTATATACGTGTAAGTTATTGAGGAAAATGAAAACAGTAGTATGTATGATATTGGATATTAGATTTTGTGAGGTTTGACCTTCAGCCTCCATGATGAATTCTCATTTATTTCTTGCTCGCTCCCCGGGAGAAATTTAAGAGTCCATTTTTAATTTTGCATGATTTTTATGTTAAACGCCGAACATATTAGGAGTTTTATTATTAGAACAACAGGATGAATTCGTTTTTTTTATTTTATTAAACTATATAAATTCAAGTAAATTATCGAACCTTCGAAACTGAAGTGAAAACAAAATTAAGTATTTTATTAAAATACGAGAGTATTTTATTAAAATACGAGAGTATTTTAAACCTAAGCAACTGAAAATTTCCTTTGTAAGGAGAAGCCTATATATCCAGTAGTGGCTGTTGATGATGAAGCAATTGAAAAAGTATAAATGAACAGACTAAACAGTTATGATTATTTTCCAGGTGACTGCCGTTCATAACCGAGCTTTTATGGGATTAGATACTGTGGAAATTCTTACTTTGTATGAAAACCGGATTTCTGTTGTTGACGGCGAGGCTTTTAAAGGACTTGAGAAGTAAGCCGCCCATTCAACTTCACGTTTTTAGTTTACTTTCAAAATTGATTAATTTGAAGCACATTCTCATTTTTACTATGTATTGGCAATTATCTAGTTAATTGAATAAAATCGACTCGAATAAATACTTTTAAGATGAATATGGACTTAAACATAATGGATACATTCTGAAACATAAAATATCGATAGAAACATCGATTTTTAACCTTTGTTGAAATATTATCTTACTGTACCACCGTGACACAACTTTAATAATGACATATAACGAAGGCTTATACGTCATAAGTCAAAAATGAATAATTAAATAATCAAATATTCAAAAATGTCCTTTTTTTTAAATCAAAATTAAGAAATAAATCACTAAATAATACAATAAAAGAACTATAGCGGGTATAATATTAAATAGACAAGTTAGTTTGAAGCCTAGACCATACTAAAGTAGGTATAGTATAATGTTTAAAAATAAAATTTGGTCCAATAAATAAAAAAGTATTCGTACTTCCTGCAAAAATATCGCATAAAGCAGACTTATAATGCTCTAGACTTATTCTTCCAGGCAAACTTTGGAACAGAGATGTGTGTGTGCTAATAAAAAGATAAAATAATAAAACAATGCTTAACATAAATAACGCCTTTTATTCAAATAATACACGACATACGAGTATATATACACAAAAGTCAGTAAAGGTTTTAAAAATACTTTTATTTCCAGGAAACTAAAGCGGCTTAATCTTGGCGGTAACGACTTGACAGCCGTACCGCAAAAAGCTCTTGCCTTGCTCGAGAATTTGAAAAAACTTGAAATGCAAGAGAATCGCATCGGTTCTATTTCCGAGGGAGATTTTGCAGGTAACAGTCATCACATTTTCTAGTAATGATGATGGATGATGTACACATGATCACATTTTTAAATACTAATCTTTAAGGCATCTTGAGAATTTACGATAGTAGTGGACTAATGTTTCTGACATTACCTTCCCTCCTAGGTAAGGAATCTTTCCATTTAATATGCGGCGTTTAATACGGTTACTAACGGCAGATATACTGTTCCAATGGGACACAATTATTTTAGTGAAAGAACTTTAAAAAAACGAGTGCCTTTTCATCTTAATAGTCTGCCGTTGGGGATCAGGGAAGAAATAGATAAAGCTGTATTTATGAAAAAAAAAAATTATATAATACTCGTAGTATTTAGATTTATTATAATAAATTACTGTTGTATGTACCTCAATAGTTTATAAATTATTTTAATAAGACAAAGTGTACGGAGACTCGATCTCCCAGTCAAACCATCAACCCGGTTTTGGGGGACATAGAAGGTAATTACATATTTACAAGTTAAAAAAAAGCCTCTATCTACCCCTTCGTTCAAATAGTCATGAGTATATGTATACATTAGGGTGTCCCAATAAAATCAAAATCTTTTTTTTCCAACACATACCCTTTAATTTTATTTAGATGGTGTCAAAACACTTGTAAATAAAATTTCATATGCGTAGCCCTAAAGCAACCCGTGCCGACTTGCATCGATACATTTCAGTACTTGCATACTTTGGCGCGCCAGAGTTAACGTATCGTGTTTGTTATTACTTGCTTGTTTTGATAGTAAACACATTTTCGTTCAGTCAAGATGGAAATGGCTTTATACAATTCTACAAAAGGGATATTTTAATAGGGGATGTAAAATAAAACTACCCTCTAATAGAGAAGTGTTGGCAGTTCTGTTCTATAATCTTTACTAAATCTTTACTTAACTAAATTTTTAAAAAAATAGTTTTCTTATGCTAACTTTCGAGAGATTTTACAAAAAAATAGAAACAAAACACAAGACATATTCAAGAAGCGTCACACAAGAGTTTGTTTCAAACTTTGGCAATTTGTTCGACATTGCACATACCGATGCACTTCAACTAATAAAGATAGGATAACTAAAGAAAGGATCTTCTTGCAGCGCCAAAGAGAACCAGGCAGACCTGGTTACGATCGAGGAACAAAAACGTGGGGCTAATTGTTATGCATATCTAACAGCTTCGACGTCATCTTATAAGGGCAATTCATCTTCTGTTTCTGAAGTAATGGACTAGATTAACAAGACAATTTGGGCACCTCAACCCCGAGCCCTGAGTCCTATACTAATAACACTCCAATGAAAAAGTTTTTAACACTCCAAAGTTGGTAGCAGATTTAGATATGTGTCAGTTAAGTACTCGTATAAACACAGACTGTGTTTGTTATTGTGTCAATAGTAGCCTATTGAGGCACTTACACTTAACACGACAAATTTCCCATAAGCAAGTCTACCATTCAAACATTTCGTAAGGAAGATATCGATTTATAAAAACCCTTTTTTTAAAAAAATGTTGAACCGACTTCAAAAAACACCGACAAAGAGCACTAAAAATTAAAAAAAAAATACAAATCTAAGTAAAAAACTATAATAAGTACCCTCAATGTAACAGGTAACATTATAATACCAATAGTCCCTTCTAGTCAGTTTGAAGTCGGTGCCAAGCCAAATAGGTGCTTGATAGGCATGGTAGAATGTAGCGCGGCAGCTGCAACAGTCTTCATGCTGCGCAAAACATGATGAACGAGCTAAAGTGGACGCACATCTCCAATTATATTATTATTTTGAATTCTTTAATAAGTAGTTGATAAGTTTGCGCACGTAATTGATCTGGTTGGTCTTTATTAATTAACAAAATCTTCGATGTTTCATTAGAATTATTTTGAATTCTTAATTTTTCATTGTGCTAATATAAAGCTGACATAGACCAGTATTACTTATTGTACATCGAGCTTGGCACCGACTTCAAACAGACTAGAAGGGACTATTGGTATTATAATGTTACCTGTCACATTGAGGGTACTTATTATAGTTTTTTACTTAGATTTGTAATTATTTTTTAATTTTTAGTGCTCTTTGTCGGTGTTTTTTGAAGTCGGTTCAACTTTTTTTTAAAAAAGGGTTTATTTTACCATTTTTAGTGTAGGATATGAAAATGACATTGGCGTCCAAACTGATCAAGATCAGCTTAAATTCTTTTCTAAGAAACAGTCAAATTCTTGTGAGTTGCAACCGAACAAAATAACTTCCGATTCAATTGACACTGATCTCGAAGGTGAAGATAGGGAAGCTTTAGTGAGACTACTCAACAAATATGCTCAATATTTTATAGAAGGAGTTCCAACTAGAAGGGTTAATACTAGTATGTTAGAAATTAACCTAGTTGACCCACCCAAAATTTAAGAGTTTTTTCCAGAACTATTTTAATAAATTAAGTATAAAATTACTTACAAACGAAATGCGATGCCATCCATAGCAACAAAACGTCTATCCGAATTATTTTAACAAGATAGAATACGAAATTTCAACCTTTTCTTCTTAATACAACGAAAATTACTGTGGTGACATAAATACTGCAAGTTCTCTGCGCATCACATCGCGCAGTCTCTGACAGTTGCCATGGTTTGTTTGGCTAAAGAAATACTCGTAGCTAAAACACGTTGTCGGGGCTGTCAAATTCCCAATAATTGTGAGGGTTTCACTCGATTTCTCTAGGATCCCATTATCAGATCCTGAATTGGTGGTAATGGGACCAATTCGGGAGCATACCCTTTCGATTACAAAAAGAATTTTGAAAGTCGGTCCACAATTGACGAAGAAATCGCGTAGCAAACATACATAAAAAAAAATACAGACGAATTGAGAACCTCCTCTTTTGTGTTTTGGAAGTCGGTTAAAGAGAAAACATACTGTCGAATCAAAAACCCTCCTTTTTTGATGTTGGTTAAAAATCGACTAGCATGAAGCTCCTAGTCGAGACGAATCAAATGAGCACAAACACGGCGGAATTGCTTTATTTTATTACATAGTTCCCATGGCTATTTACCGTCTCCATCATCAGACCCTGAATATCACATAGGATCGGAGTTCTTATTAATTAGACTCAAACACATTCAAATTCGATGGTATTACATAATTTTGTTACAGAGATCCCATACTCCTAAACCATTCATCAACAGCTTCATCATCAGCTCAGCAACATCAGATGGTAACCATTAGATGCAAAAATCTACATAGATTAAGATAATTTCTGATAAACAGTGTATATGCCTACAAAATTTGAGGGTTTCCCTCGATTTCCCCAGGATCCCATCATCAGATCCTGACCTGGTGACAATGGGACCACCTCTGACGTATGACCTACCAAATAAAAAAAGAATTATTCAAATCGGTTTATAATTGCCGGAGTAATCGCGTAACAAATATACAAAAAAAAAAAAAAAAAAATACAGTCGAATTGAGAACCTCCTCCTTTTTTTGAAGTCGGTTAAAAAATGTTGACCGAGAAACACAAATAGTTTATAAGTTTTCAAATGAAACTACACAATATACGCTAAGAAGCATTCCTTCCAAAGAAGATCTTTCTGGTTCACTTTACGAGTCATTGATTTCGAGTAGAGTCTTTTAAAAAAGCAAGTCCTTGAATAATAATTTACAAATTGATGACAGCTGTCCAAAGAGTCCTGTCGTACTTCATGGTCGAACTATACTACTTTCCAACAAGTTTAGAAACAGGTGATGACACTGAGAGCCTTTAATGATACAGTAGAGATAGAGTAGTACAGTTTAATATAAGAATTCCATTTAAAGTCACTGTTGAAGAGGATCAAAGGCGATATTTTATTTACTACATGGCGTACAGGAACATAAACCTGTTTACCCTGACTACAACAAGTTTTAAAATAATGTTATTTTAATAATAAACATTAAATAAAAGTGTTTTGTAAATATTAAATTAATAAATGATATATGATATGTTTATTTACTGAATAAAGAGTATGTTATGTACGAATGTCCGAACAGTAATCATACAAATATTTTCATAAAAGTTTAACTTCAAGGCAGCACGGGTTGTCGTTATCCGATAACAATAAAACAAAATATATTAGCCATTGACAAAAATACAAAGGGTGTGCGTACTTAAATCCGAAAAAAAAATTATTTGTCCTTATAAACTTTGATACCCTAGTATGTGAATATTTATGTATGTATGGACTAATAATATGATCCCAGCCCACAAATTTACAAGTAATGTATGTGTACAAGATATTGCATGTATGTCAAAACTTCCTTAATCCGGAAAAAAAAAATAATCGTTGTATTTTTTCCTAATATAGACCTACATTTTTATTTCGCAGGCCTACGGAGCCTTGACTCTCTAGGTTTAGCACACAACCAATTGCGAGAAGTACCCGCCCAGGTATTTTCGCATCTGACATTCCTAAACTCTTTGGAACTGGAAGGAAATTTAATACAAAGGATTGACGAACAAGCCTTTGCTGGACTGGAAGGTAAATTAATTTGTTAATGAAACTGTTACAAGAACTAGTTATATTTGATTTAATGAAAATTTAATTTATTTTTAAAATTATTTTAAAGTAACTTTGAACAGAAGTACATATTATGATTTAAAATCAGCAAAATTTTTAGTTAGTGGATTTACAATTTTAATTATAACTAACTTTTTAAGAAAATCTACAATACCTGCGACTTGGCGATAACCGCCTGCACGAGATACCTTCGGAAGCCCTTCGTTCTTTGCATCGCTTGCGTCATCTGGATCTTCGTTCTAACAATATTACATACATCAGCGAGGATGCCTTCACTGGTTATGGAGATTCTATTACATTCCTAAATATGCAAAAGAATATGTAAGTATTTTTTTTTATTATACATGTATTACTTTACATTTTTGTAAATTGCCGTACACGTGATACTTGAATTAACGATGTGTTTTTAATTCATACAGTGAATAAGTAAATTTCTTCAGTGTGCTTTTGGGAAAATTAATTATTTATTTTCACCTTTCTTACACTACTTAGACTGTTGAACATATTAAAGGTTCATGAATTCATTAAAGCCAGACAAGCTACAAACTGTCAAGCCAGAATAGTATTATTAAAAGACTGTATAAGGCATCCAGAACACAAAATACATTTTACACAGACTTCGTGTATGAAACAAAATACTCGTAAATGGCGTCGTTTTAATAGCCATTCGTTTAAATGAATCCCGAAAACATAAAAAGGATAAAAAAGATAAAACGGCTGGGGTTAATAATGCAAGAAATGTTTGCTTTTTATTTCGTAAGTGTTTAAGTGCTGAACTCCCCATATTAAACATCGTAGTTTAATATTCAGTATTCGAATCGTAAATTTTGTCATCAAGAGTTATTACAACTTTACGATTTATAATATTTCTCGTTTCGGCGGCGTTTGATTAATTTGCAGCATTTCTATATTCAAGTCCGTAGAGACTCATTTCGCGGCGGGAACTCTTAATTAACTTAAATGTAACGTTACTTACAGAGTTTTACTGTTAAATGACTGTTAAGTGTAACAGTATTGCTATTTTATGATGTTCTGCGTATCATGTCATCAATCTAAATTTTATATATCCCTACTAATACGAAAGAGACTTACCATCTGTTACACTTTCACAGCTAAACCGAACTCAATGAAATTTGGCATGAAGATAATTTGATATTTGAGGAAGGACATAGGCTACTTTTCACCGCGATAATCGAACTACGGGTAAAAGCTGGTGCTACTATAGGATTATGACTAAGAAAATTACTTACAGATACACTGCAAGAACCATGCTACAATAGATTGTAAATGTACCCACTATCTATTCCTCCGTCTTAAGTGTTGGAAACTACTCTTTCAACTTTTTCTAGTTATTTAACACAAACTATTTTTTTTTTTTTTTTTTTTACTTAATTGGTACAGTTACAGACAACAGATCATGCCTCACACAGTAATAAGTAACAGCGTATAATTTCAAATCTGATGTCCAGTTAAAACTATACACATCATTCACAATCGCGGTGATAGAGCTTCAATTAAGTGTCAAACAAACGCAAAAAAAAAAAGAAAAAAAAAAAGATTATTAAATGCGAAAATGAGATTCAGCAAATTGACTAATTAGTTATATCTACAAATGTGTTACTATAATTTTACATTGATAGATTTATACATTTCAGATTTTATGTAAAAAGCACTCGAATACTATCATTAAAAATATCTATTTGAGAACATAATATATATCGTTATAACGACTACACATTCGAAAAACCGGATTGTTGCGTGATACATTGTTGTTGCTAGTTGGTATAGTAAACAGTTGTTTGTTCTATGTTGTAACAGGATCCACCAGCTCCCGACTATGGGCTTCGATAACCTGAACTCTTTGGAGACGCTGAATCTACAGAACAACAAGTTGCAACACATCCCGGAGGAGATCATGGAGCCGATACTGGACACGCTTCGTGTGGTTGACATCATGGGTCAGTATATTTTAAATGATACTTTACTTTTATTATCTACATACTTTTGTACTAAATTTATAATTAATATTCTTAATAATCAACCAAAGTGACTGCACAGACCGCATATGGTTTGAGTTGTCACCTGTTCAGTTCCACTGTGTTAGGTGTTGAGGGTTCGATGTCCACATGGGACAACACTTAGTGTTCGAAATCCACAAATTGTTATTCTGAGACCGGATGTTCTTAGTGCCATGTATGTCTTTAACGTCCTCTGAAACACAATATATTCCTAGTGCGGAAGTTGTCTTTAAAAAAATTTACTTTATAGTTTTTTGAGTAATTCAACCATTTTAAAAAGGTGTCTAGGCTACTTATTGGCTTTAATTGTATTATAAAGAAAGACTAATGCACTTTGTTTGGCATAGATAATCCCCTGATTTGCGACTGTGAACTGGCTTGGTACGAGGCCTGGCTTGCTGGTCTCCGGGATAGAGATGACGAGATGATGCAAAAGAAACGAACGGTTTGCACCATGGTCAACGAACATCGAGAGTATAGCGTTGCAAAGATGCCTCTAGAAAAAATGAACTGTAAGAGAAAACCAACTTATGGACGCACCAATAGGGAACCCATCTCTCACCCCTCCATCAGTTTCGCGGCCAACGCCCTTCTCTTCGTCGCAGTTAGGTGTCTTTAGATTAATATTATTGTTATTTTATTTAAGTGTTAAGTTAATCCTAATTTTATTTAAAGCGAAGCGTTACTCTCGCGCCACCTGTGGCCGGATGGCTCGAGACGCACTTTTCGCAACCTTTGTATTATCTGTTCAAATCTTTATAACGTGATGAATTTGTGAAATAAACTACGATACATATCAAATTGGGCTGATAAATAAAAAATTAGCATATAATTATATGGAGCGGAAGCTTGGTAAGAGAAGTTGGTCGTTTTTCAAGAGCGGTAAGTTAGTGGTACTGTATTTTTACAATGTAGCGTAACTTCTTGCGGTATGCCTTACTAATAGTAATGTTACAAAAATGTAACTACACGTTTTAACACCAGGCATTCTAGTAGTAGGTATCACTGGAGATGTGTCAATGTCGTTATGATCGTAGTACGCCCTGACATGAAGGAAACTTAATTGATTGTCAGAACATGTGATTTCACAATGAGCTAGATTTTACACATTTAGCCAGGAACATTTTTATTTGAAAATGTACGATCCCTTATAAATTTGGTGAAGAATTTCTAATATTTTTATCATTTACCCCTGCCTTATGATGTAATCTATTAGTAAGCTTTTAAGTATATACAATGTTGACTATTACGATATTGTTCTATGATATATGTGAATGGGGCTCGAGGTGTGTATATATATATTACATATGTATCCCGAATGAAATACATTATAAAATTCTATATTAAAGGAAAATTGCCGGTTGTAATTTCTACGTATGTATCTACGCTACACTTCATTAAAAAGTTCAGTTGTTTTAGCTTTTGAAATAATATCAATATGTTATCTTGATTAAATTTAATGGTTAAAGCCCATAAATGTTCGATTGATGTAGATCTAGAAATAATTAGAAATCTAAGTAATAGATTAAATTCTATTTATAAATTTTATTCTGTTGAACTTCAGAAACATTTCAATTTCAATTAAGTAATAATTAGTTTTATCGTTAACTATCAATTTGATATTCTCTTAGTTTAAAGTTTTTTTTTACTTTTATTTTTATAGTATTTTTTATTTTAGGAATAGGAATAGTAATATGTTATTTTTTGTGGTTTTTAATATTTTTATGTTTAGTTAATTGATGTCAAGATATTACTAGCTAATAGTAGCGTAATAAATGTGACTTTGAACAATTTTTACCCCTTGAACCTTTTTGTAGTGATGCAGTTCAATTAAAATCTTCTATTGGGAAAAAAGCTGAGCCCTGTTAACAATGTACGGCATGTGTAGCCAATTTCGAGTGATAACATTGTAACCAAAAACATATCCCTTAGTCTGAATTAGAAACTTTAAGAATTAATAAAATAAATATATTTTAAATTCAATATATTTGGAGTAAGCTGTAGAAGGATATTGATCAACTAGATTTCTTGCACAAAGCTCGCTCTCAAGCACGAAGTGTGATAAATTTTACCAAAAAGCAAAATCAAATTTGCGTGTAAAGAAATAATTATGGGAATATCAGGAAATATAACGTTTTTCAAAATTTCCCCTCCTTTCCAAAAAAAAAAACAAATGAGTAGGTACAGCTCAGTGCTTTGTACATGAATACTCTTGGATCATTATGTGAGAACCACTTATGTAAAATTTATAATAACAAATTAATGACTCAAAATTTTACTGCAGTAACTGCGTATTTATCAAACTTAATAACAAAAGCTTACAAGAAAAAGCCATTAGACGTGATAAGATCTACGGGCTCAAATGTTTGATGACCAATAAACTTGAATTTGTATCAAACATTATTATTATAATCTTATACTTACTTATACACCTAATAATAAAATGTGTTGATCATGTAAGACGCGAGATTAGGTACTTTTTGTACCTAATTTACATAGATTGATACATTTTGAACATGAATTTTGTAACTGTAGTGTGGATATTGAAGCTTGATGTTTATATTATACTATATAACAGTTCATGGTTCATAACGTTCACTTAATATACAAAATTAAGAGCACATAAATGTTACTTATGTAATCAACATCAGAGTCAAGGAAACCTGAGTACAGTTAATAATTAAATTCACGAACCGCCTCATTTAAACAAATTTTAATATAATATCGATATTATTATAATCACAACATTTCGTCATCTATATGTCGTGTTGCACTGTTCTGATATTTGTGTCTAGAGTCTTAATGCTTTCTAAGAAATTCGACGTAAGGTAAGATTAAAGTTAATATCCAAACTATCCTAACAGATGTATCTTAAAGAGTACCTTAGTTGGAAAAAAGTTTTTTGTTGGGAATTCAATGAGTTTTGGATCATTCGTAGGACAACTTTATAATAAAAAAATCAAGAGACGATAGTCTTTTGACACAGCAGCTATCTATCCAGAAAATTAAATAGACTTTTTAGAAAACTAAAATCCTAGTATGAAATAAATGATTATTTTAAAGTCAACAATAAAAAATTGGGAAGTAATCAAAAACAATCAAAGACAAAAATTTGTAAGAAGATATTTTCTAACTCGGCGACAAATTTCATAGAAGCGGTCATTTACTCACGAGTATAACAATATACATTATAGTTTAGATGTCTGACTGAGAGATCAGATCATTACTCAAATATTTATTTTACCTTCATATTTTATGCAAGACTATTCTCGTAATACTATTTATATTTCAAGAAACATTTACACTTCATTAATCTTAATATTAAGAGATCAAAGATTGATCAATGATTTATTCATATTTATGTAGACTCATTTATGTTGACGACTGTATGTCAGCTTCTAATCTTTAATTAAAACATACTGTGAGAATATACTCACTCATATATTATTTGTATAGTGTTGTACCTAAATTTTAGTGAAAGAACCAGCATAAAACATATCGAGGAAGTGGGAGTTTTGTACCTTATCACAAGTACCACTGACCTTAATATCTTGCATATCAACTTAGTCTTAAGTCGTAATGGAATTTTATATATTCACTGTTATATATGTGTGTTGTTTATATAAACTTATATTCATTGTTAATATTTAACTGTTGTATGAATGCTTGTGTCATATTCTGTGTACCTTAGTGTAAGAAGCATGTGTGAATTGTGATTATGTTAGAAAAGAGGTAAATGGATCATTTAAAACAACCCTAATGGTGTCAATGAATAACTCACAATACTAAAAGAATATTAAAGAAACCAATCTAATAAAAATAATTCACGTTTAAAAAAGGAACAGTCACATCTCTAGTAGTGTGTCGACTGCCTGTAATGTAAAAATACCGCTACACCTAGTTCACACTTGCGGGTATAGCCTTAGGCCTGGTCACATGAAATACCTTTTCACCTCATTTGTAAATTATGCCTAAACGGTGTAAAACACATATACGTGATCTGTTTATCTCTTTAATCCGCGTATAATCAATTATTCCAGCAATAATGTCAGTATAGTCTGTATCTTTTCTGCATTTAATATATATAACAGATACCCATGTATTTAGCGTTTATAGTCACATTTATTATTGAGAATAAATATAAATGTAGGTAATTGAATCTAATATTAACATTTGGCTGTAAAAGTGTATTTATTTAATTTCGGTTTAAATAAAAAAATAACTACGAACGTGTGTTTTTATTTATTTTTTGGTTCCATACATCACAATAAAAAACTTAACCATTTGTTCCTTCTGTTTGTAGGTATTTTTATATGTGTATTCACTCAGCTTGTAACTACACTCTGCAATCCCTATAGCCTGTATCAATGAGAGTGCACCGAGGAATGGTTCAGAATAATACCGGTTTTCCGCCATCGTTCCACGCGGTGAAACATCCATGCCCATCACTTGGATAATTGACACTCCACTACTCCCCGCTTTTTTAAAAACTTATCGCCTTGCACAACAAACAGACAAAACAAAGAAGTATTATGATATCTAATGGTCATCATCATCATCATCATCAACAGTCTATAACAGTCCACTGCTTAACATAGGCCTCTCCTTAGAAAGGAGGGTTTGGCCTACTATACAACGCTGGCCAGATGGGTTGGTATAGGGTTTGTTTCAAGTTTTCCTTCTCTTTGCAGTGCTTTTGTCCTGCGTAGTTTGCTCCCTTAGTCGGCTCTTACGACACCCACGAGATGAATGGGGGTGGGACATTCCGTATTCTTAATCCGTTACTACACGGACTTTTTGGTTGGTTTTATTTCATTTTAATAAAAAGAAGCCTACTTTTTCTTTTTCACACTTTTAACTTTATTCGTAGTTATTTTCAGTTAGTACGTAATACGTCTCTATGCATACTATTTTCTTGAAGGAAATTAATATGGTAAAAGCCTTCGGTGAAAAAAGTTTTGCGTGTAGATTGATATGAGCTGCATAATACACTTTTATGAAGCATGCAATATGATATTTACTTTACGCTTTAAAGTTGAAAATAGGTCAGCATTCAATTTTCTTGATAAGAATTACAGCTTCAATCACTAAGGATAATGTAATTGTTTAACGATATCCCATACACATAAATCTATGTATATATATCTATATAGATAGTGCGTATTGTAAGTATCGTTTTCGTTTGAAAATAGTATAATACATAATTCGAATCAATTAAAACACCTCTTATTTTGTCGTGTGTACATTAAAAAAAACGCCTGTGTATAGATTACGTGTAGACATAATTGAAGACGATGAACATAATTCTATGCCTATCTTACCATATAGGTACTACTAGCTTATAAGTACTACACACAAAATATAGTATGTGTAGGTATATCTATATATACACAGAAATATATTTGTAAGCTAAAAAACACGCTTTCTATAGAAAACAAAACTAAAAAATAGAAAATAAAACTTTTTAAAACTTTTTTTTTTTTTAATTAGTGTATTGTCATTGATCCTCGATATATCTACAAAGTTTGAACAAATTCTGACCGTTTAAAGTCAATCAAAATCACGCCCAAAGGAGTCGGTTACAAAGATACAAACAAACATACTCGTACAAGTGAAGCT